TATATTATGGTTTAAAACATGAAATCTTTAAAAGCTGTTTTTGTCACAGAGTTTCTTGTTGGAGAAGAAAACACTTCTCTGACCTTTGCTGTTGTTGTTGTTGTTGTTGTTGTTTTCAGCTGCTATAGCGATGGCTTCTGACTCACGGTGATCCCATGCACAATGGAACAAAATGCTGCCCCCTGCCTTGTGCCATCCCCATGATCAGGGCAGATCAGACCATTATGATACATACGGTTGATTTTCAGAAGTAGATCACCAGGCCTTTCTTCCTAATCTGTCTTAATATGGAAGCTGTGCTGAAACCTGTTCAACATCATAACATCACAAAAGCCTTAACAGGCGGGTGGTGGCTGTACATGAGATACATGTATCGGGAACTGAAACTAATCTCCAACATGGAAGGCAAGAATTCTAACACTGAACCACTACTGCCCCTTTCCCTAACCTTATATCATTTCCAATATTCTCCCTGGCTCCATCTTTTTTTCCAATGCTAGTCCCTCTTTACTGAAGTATCCCATATCTTCCAACCCTCTCATCTATCCCCATCATCTTTCCATTCAATTGCTTCAAGAAAAAAAGCAAAGTACTTGGAAAAAGAATGCACAGAGCAGAGGTTAGCAGGGAGGGATGTTCAAATATGAAGAATCCGTGGAGTGGACTAGCTGTTTTGAAGGGCTACTTTGATGTTATGACAGATAAATCTTCCATTCAAACAGTATTCCATTCTCCTTCATCTAGCTGTGCTTTTTCACCTAAAAGTTATGAATTGTTTTGGTTGCTTTTCAATTGAGTTACAAAGAATTAATGCCATTTACATAGAAACTGCATCTTCTCTCAAAGCACTGGAATTTCAGAGTCCAGGACAGCCTGCTCAGTTCAGTGGATTCTGTTCCTCAATCTACTCTTCTCCCTCCACTAGCTGTATGCTTGCCTCAAAACTATAGTTTTTAATAAAAGCCAATCTTATCTCAAGGAAGAGAGTGAGAGATCATAATTTTTTTTTCTTTTAACCCAGTGTTCACGTGCATTGGAGTCATTGCTTAGGCAAGAACACACTGAATGTATTACCAGTTGCTTTCATTAATAAAGTAAAAATATCCTCCCATTAGCAAGCTAATTACATTCAATTTTACTTTCCTATTATTAATCATTCCTATTTGATTTTCTTCTCTCCTCTCTTTCCTCTGTTCTTTTTATCTCAATTCATTTAATTTCCTCATGTCAAAAGGCATCATTCACAATCCCTATAGTTTTATTTCTTCTTTCTCTTGTAGCCAATCTTTTGTCCAGTCAAGTTCTACACTGTATTACTTATCTAGCATTAACTTGCCTAACTAGCCTTCCTTATGAAAAAAACAAAAACTGGACTATCTTTAAACCCTTTCTTAATGTTTATTTGCCTGAGAAGACAGCCCAGGAATGTCAAGGGCTAAATAAAATATTAGTGACATAGATATTTAGAAAATTTATTGATTTGGCGTTTTTTCAGTAAGGTAGATTATAACATCAACAATTTCAATAAACTTGGCTAAATTATAAACACCTTGTACAGTGTGTAGTAAATTATAGATTCATGTTGTCTGAATAGGTTTGCAAGCTTTGCCTCATTTATGCTACCCCATCTTCAACAAGAACTAAAAAAAAGGGAAAGGGTATATCTCATCCTTTCTGATTATGTAAAATGATTATGAATCAACCCCAGCAAATACTCCCAATATGGCTGCATATTCTGCCAGCCATCAGCCTAGTATTTGTACCTCTTAAAAAGCATGAATTTATTTTTGTTGGTTCTACTGGGAACTGTAGAGTCAAATGAACAGGGACCACATCCTACACTATCTTTTACTTACCACACACACAACCGATATGAAGATATCAATTTTTAGCATGTTTCAAGTATAATATAAATATGATTTCCAAGTGGGAAAAAAACTGTATAATGTAACAGTTTTCTGAAATTAGAAATAGGATTTCCTTTTAGGATGGAAATAATAACAGATAAAAATTTTCAGTAAAATTATCAATTTAAAAATATGCCATAAAAATCTCTGTTCTGTTCTTCTGACACAGAGAATTTTTAACTGCTTTTATTTTGTCTTGAAAAATGTTAAAGATACCTTTAAGATGGCATTGTATGTATTATTACAGATTCCTTTTTCTTTTTTTCCAGCTAAAAAGATAGATTTGGAAATATTCCAAGAATCTTGGTAGGCCCAAGTCATTAGAATGTGTATATGTGTGTGAATACACACACACACACACACACACACACATATATAAAAGGAGCTCTGGTGGCACAGTTTCTAAGGCATTTGATTGCTAACCAGAAGGCCAGCAGTCTAACCCACCAGCCACTCCATGGAAAGAAGACCAGGCAATCTACTTCCATAAAGATTTACCACCTCGGAAACCCAATGGGGGTCACTATGAGTCAGAATCTACTTGATGGCAGTGAGTTTAGTTTAGTTTTATACTTAATAAAATATTTGTATTTTTTAACAGATCACAATTTATTGGGAGAGGATTGTATACGCCTCTTTTTTCTAGGTCTGATTACATCTAAGACTCATAGGAACACAAAAATGGCAAAGACTGATTACAAATGAGGGTAAGAATGACTTAGCAGAGATAACCTAGGAAAAGTATTGTTCTACCTCCATTAATATAGGAACTTTCAGGATAAAGAGGAGGTAGCAAGGAGCCCTAATGGTGCAGTGGTTAAGCACTCCACTGCTAACAGAAAGATTACCAGCATTTCAAACCTACCAGCTGCCCACAGGCAAAAGATGTGGCAGCCTACTCCTATAAATATTACAGTTTTGGAAATCTTATGGAGGCAGTTCTACTGTGTCCTATAGGGTCACTATGAATCAGAATCAACTCAAGGGCAAAGAGTTGTTAGCAGGAATCCTGCAGAGGAGGAACCATAAGGGGAAGCTCCCAGTAATGCCTGGAATGCTGATGAAGGACTCAGAATGGCAGGAGCACAGAATGTCAGACAGGGAGGAATGCCCAAGGAAGTTCAAAAGGCATTCCAGACCAATTCTATAGTATGTAGTACAAAAATAAACACTGGGGAGTCCCATATTTTTTAAATAAGGGAGAAGAATGGCACTATCAGAGCTAGGTTAGAGGTGGGAACATTTTGGGGTAGCAGAGCTGACCAAAACAAGTATAAGTGGTCAATTAAAAGTTACTGACATGTCCATCAGGTAAACCTACTCTCAACAGAGCAGACATAAAATCCAATGGCCTAATGGCCATGAGAACCCAGTGAGAGTTACAGGAAAGAATTCAGAACCCGCACAACTCCCCAACCCCCTGAGAAGTGAGGGAAAGTTTGGAAAATTACATTCATTATCTCAGAAGGTGAACACACAGATAACACAATATTTCCACCTTTCCAAGCCTGGAAGTAGTATAGAATGTGGTGATTCTGATCACTTCAAGTAACTCACACCAGAATTATACTCTTCCATGGGTTTATTTTCTAAAATCCTTTCTTTGCAGAGATCAGACACTTGAAGTTCATTAAATCCCTTTTACCAGCAATTCAACTGGTTAAACATTTTTCCAATTTTCTTTTTACCTGAGGTAAAATGCATACAACATAAAATTTGCCACTTTAACCATTTTCTAAGTTTAGAATTTAATGCCATTAATTACATTCACAATGCTGTACAATGATCAGCCATGATTTCCATAGCTTTTTCACCTCCCCACACAAAACTCTGTAGTCATTAAGCAATAACTGCCGTTTCCTCTTCTTCCTAGACCTCTAATATGTTTCCTGTCTCTATAAGCTTGCTTATTCTAGATATTTTATGGGAGTGGATTAATACAATATTTATCCTTTTGTGTCTGATTTCATTTAGAATAATATTTTCAAGGTTCATCCAGGTGGCACCATATATCATTCATTACTTATTAAAATGAACACAAATATATTTGAATGAAAAGCTTTCAAGTACCATAATTACATAAAAACAAACTGCATATTCTTTTCTGAAAGGCAATTGATATACAAAAGTTTTCACACTGATCTTGAGTAATAATTTTCTAAGAAAATCAAACTAAATAAAAGAAGCTAGAATTCATAAACTTATTTACCACCTGAGAAGTGGAAGGTTCAATTTTAAACAGGGAATGTGAGAAAGCTGCCTTGACTATCACCAGTGTTTGATGTCAGAGGTAAACACATGTGTGCAGTTTTATTTTATGAATTTTAGATTCTTAAAAGATTGGTGAAAAAACAGGCTTCAAAACTCCCCCTGCATCTTTTGGCACTACAGCTAACCCTTCAGTTGCCCTAATCTTCCCAGATCATCTGATTTTATAAACAGTTAAGTGAATTCAAATAATGAGTAAAAGAGGTCAAGAAGAAGAAGGACAGGGAGAGGAAAGGTACAGGAAAAATGTCTAGAGTTTATTTTCTGCCTTATTTAGAACTGGGGAAAATAAGATCATCCCATGAAATTGAATGAAAATGAAACATGACTATGGAGCTGAAGGTGAAAGTGAAAGATATAATTCTTAGCTGTTGCCTTCTCTTAGCATGTACATACTTACTGCCAATTTCATAGTAAAAATTATTATTAAAATCTCAATCAACAAAAATACATTTATTAAACACATAGCATAAATGATAGTGCTACATATTATACAATCCTGACCCAAAAGAATAAAATCTTTTTTTTTTTTTCATAAAGCACTGAATCTACGAATGAATAATGCAACTAAAAGGTAACTATTCATTTTCATGTACAGGTCTGTTCATTTCATCTTGTGAACATTTTTTTAAATGTGATATATGACAAATGAAACATAAATGATCTTTTATAAGCATGTTTAAATTATTTTTTGGAAGAAAATACTCATATAAAATTATAAGATTTTAAAATCCACTTTTGGTCTTAAACCATGTATTCTAAACCACCAAAATAGTAATGGACTGATGAGTTAACATTTCATTGTCTGAATTAAAAAATACTTACACTATTGGCTTTTCCAGGCGACTTCCCTGTGAACCAACAATCTCCCCCAATGTACAAAACACTTGTCCCAGAAAGTCCTAAAATAGACAAAAGGATTAAAGCTCATTCCCAAACCATGTTTATACTACACACATTGTACACTGTATTTTCATTAGTTTCATTGCTGCAAAACTGAAATTTCCAACTTTGACTAATAAAGTAAGCTCAACATGTATTAACTTTAGCATATGACTTTCTCATTAATTTTCATGGCCTTTTGTATTTTAATCATAGAAACCCTTTGTTATTTTCCATGAAAATGGGAAAAACTCCCAGGTTTGGATTCACAATTGGCTTGACTTTAGATGTTCCTGAAACTACTAAACTTTTGGTTCAGGTGACAATTTGTGAGACCACACAACAGTGATGGCTAACAACATAGGTACTATGTATTGAGAGGTAGTATAATACAGTGGCAACAAGTTGGGGTTCAGAGATACACTGCCAGGTCTATTCCAGATGGCCACTTACTTACTACTCTGACTGTGCACAGTCATTTAAGGTCTACAGTTTCCCCATCTCTAAAATGTATTAGTACTTCCTTTACAAAGTTGTTTAGAAGATTTGGTTAGTTATTAAACGGGTAGTTATTAAGCAACAACCAGTTACTCAAGGCAACTTCAACTCATATTTATCCTATATTTTAGAGTAGAATTACAGTACATAGGGTTTTCAGTGGCTGGTATTTTGAAAGTAGATCACCAGGCCTTTCTTCCAAAGCACCTCCAGGTGAATTTGAACCTCCAACCTTTCAGTTAGCATCCAAGCATGTTAACTTATACTATGATGGGATAGGTAGTTACTAGAACACAGTAAGTTCCTAAAAATGCATTAGCCATAATGTTGTTGTTGTTGTTGTTATGTGCCATCGAGTCAGCCCTGACTCATAGCGACCCCTCCTTGGGTTTCCGAGGCAGTATCACTACGGAAGTAGGATTGCCCAACCTTCCTTCCGAGGAGTGGCTG